AAATAATGATCTTTAAAAAAGCATCATATGACCCCTTTAATTCTGAGTTTATATCTCAATATCTCGTACTGTAATTCTGACTTTTTTTCCCCTCACAATTTGGAGAAAAAAAAGTTTAGAAATCAAAAGGTAATTTTTTTTTTCGTCTTTATTTGATCAGAAATGCAGTAAAAACAGCAAAACATTTTTCTAATTCAAATTAGCTGTGCATATATTGTAAAAAGTAATTTATTGCTGTATTTTCAGCATCATTACTGCAGTCTTCAGTGTCACATGATCTTCAGAAATCAGTATAATATGCTGATCTGCTGCCCAAGAAACATTTCTGATTATTATCAATGCTGAAAACAGTTGTGCTGCACAATATTTTTGTGGAAACCGTGATACATTTTTTTTTTTTTTAGAATTCACAGAATAGAAAGTTCAAAAGAGCAGCATTTATTTAAAATAGAAATCTTTTGTAACATTATGAATCTGTCACTTTTGATCGGTTTAATGAATCCTTACTGACACCAGTAAATACTATTATTTGTATAATTTCACTATCACTATAGAAATTAGAAGAATAATTATATCTCAAGATTATATACTAAGAATATCAAATTCTAATTAATAATTCCATTAATCATTTTAAAATGATCTGATATTTCCAAGACCGCAGGAACCCTGCAAGAGCTCCTGAAGGTCATTCACGTTGATTTGTTTTGTGCTTTTCGTAATGCATAATGTTTCAAAGCAGGTTTATAGAAACGCATGTTTCTACGTTATAATTACGATCCATACATGGCCTTTAATGCATTGTTATGAAAATTGGAACCAGCTTTATTAATGTTATTTAGCATAAAAAATTAAATAAAAACTGTTACTATAATTTAACAGACTTGAGGTAAAATGCACTAATGAAACTCTGTACTTTTATTAACTATGTGAATACTGTAACATATGTATTGTTAGTTAATGTTTGTTATTATACAGAAAAATCATAAACTGTTGTAGCTTGGAACATTGTCCACATCCATTTGTGTGTTTATTAGTTTTCTACTAGAATGGATCATTTGCTTTCAAATAAACAACATGGAAATGAAATGTAATGTTCTTTATGACCACAAATAAGCATCAAACCTACTTGCTTCAGTCGTGCGGTTTGCACGCTCCTCGCTAGGTGGCGCTAGAGACTCACTCACCGTATTTCGTAGGAAAGATGTCCTCATCAGTCACCAGCTTCTGAACTGAACTCATGACGAAATCCACGTACTGTGGCGCTGTGCATTTCGTCTTCTTCCCTTTCTCATCCTGCCAGTAGTACGTCCTGCCAAACACACAATCGAGTTGATTTTCCTTCTGCTGTATCCATCTAAACCCTTGTACGGGTGCAGCAGCATCATTGTTTTCCTTCAATCGCTCATCGGTTCCCAATACAAATACATGACCTTGTCGATCTCTCCACCAATCGTCTGTCTGCTCAGCAGCTGTTCATTAACCAGGCTTCTGATAGTGAATCTTCCCAGAAGCATGAGCAGTATATTTATGATGACACTCCGGTTTCTTGAATTTCCCCTCACCAGGAACAGTCAACGTCTCATTTAAAGCATGCATCAAACTGAACATGCTCTTCTACCATCACACCTCTCCCTGAGGTCGCGACCCCTGAGAGTCTGCAGGCTTCATGATGGATGAATAACAGATACTCACGTGCTGCAGGCGGTCATGGCCAGACATGTGTCTCCTGTGCAGAACTCGGAGATCGTGCTGTACTGCAGGTTAATCAGATTGAAGAACGTCGTGGCTAGAAAAAATAAAAATAAAAATCACACAAACCATTCAAAGATTAAGCAATGATAAAAAAACAGAAATTCTTCTATAATGCATATAAATATCATAATGCAATATGTCCAAGTCATTACGAATCAGATGGCTTTGTGTTGCTTATTGAAACATGCATAAACAATGACTTCTAATCATCTAAACAACAATCTTTGCACTTTTTTTTTTTTTTTTATATTTATAAATGGATGCAAATATGCACATTTCTATAAAATTGCATACTGTACATAATTACATCATTATTATTATTATTATGTATTTGGCTATATGTCAACTCTAAATATGTAGAAATATAAAACAGAGAAATACGTATATTTAAAATATTATAATATATATATATATATAAAGAGCTTTTATATTACTATATATAATTGTTTTATATTTTTTGTTTAAAAATGTAGACTTCTATTTCAAATAAATGCTGCTCTTCTGAACGTTCTGTTCATCTGTGAATCCTGAAAAATAAAATGCATCACAGTTTCCACAAAAATATTGTGCAGCACGACTGTGTTCAACATTGATAATAATCAGAAATGTTTCTCGAGCAGCAGATCAGCATATTATACTGATTTCTGAAGATCATGTGACACTGAAGACTGGAGGAATGATGCTGAAAATACAGCTGCGCATCACAGAAATACATTACAGTTTAACAGAGATTCACAGAGAAAACATATATTTTGAATTGCAATATTATTTCACAATTTTACCGCAGCTTTGGTAATATATTACACATGTATTCTGCATATATTCTAAGTAGAGGAAATGTAGCTCAACAAGCACCGTATGAGACGACTGTGAGCTGATCCAGAGAAATGGCTTCAATTAACCACAAAAGGCAGTGATTTGGTTTAATAAGTGCTTGTGGAATTTGAAAGTCCATTAAAGTTTCCTAAATCGAGTCATATTTTTTTTTACATGTTTTCATTCCAGATAAAATGGAGGGAAATGCAAACAATGCTGTGATTCGTGGCTTCGGAATGTTCTTCCGAGCTGGTTTTGTCATGCAGTTATATAACACAGAGCTGAAATCATGCATTCCCTCGGATGAAAAGAAGACATGTTTTCAAAGCACACTTAGTAACCAGACAACACCACCACGACGGTTGCCGTTTACCAGATTAAAAACAGCCAACACATTTCTATAAGATTCCTCTGGCCAAAAAAAGAGTAATGTGTACTACTGATGAAGTTTTGCAGATTAGAAATGCTCATAGCAACTAAATATAATTAAACAGCATTCAGGACACGATCTGGGGTTCAGACGTGATCCTGTAACCAAAGAGCAGCGAAAACAACTGCACTGTAACTTTACTTTGGGCTTAATTCTATTGAAGGAAATGAGGTGAGGTGAGAAACCCACTGTTGCAAGCGAGCCACTCGTTCAGGTCGATCTCTCTCGGCAAAACCACCAGCTCCTTGAGGTCGAAGTCGACGACTCTCACTTTGGTGTGTTCTGCATCCAGGTAATGCTTCTTCTCCTCGGGGGGCGGCTTCTTTCCATTGGGCTTCCCTTTGCCCTTCCTGTGCAGACGAAACGCGGGCGAACAGAGGTTACTCAACCTGATAGAGCTGGGAACCAAGTCTTAAACTCTATAGAGCGGCATGAGGGCCTGTGCAACAAAATAATATTAATAATAATAATACATTTTATTTGTAATGCGCCTTTCTTACACTCAAGGCGATATAAACAAAACACATTTTTCTTAAAGTTCCTAAATTCGAATTTTGTACTTAAATATGATCAAAATTCGAATTATATTCTAATTTAAAATGCATAATTTCAGCTAGGGTGAAGAAAAGCTTTTGGCGTCTCTCCTGAGGCCACAAGAGGGCGCATCGAGCAATGCACGTTTATTCAAAGCATATAAGATAACATGACTGTCTGTGGAAAAAAGTGCATAATGTTTAAAATGTTTATAAACCAATTATAAGTAATTAAGTTGCTTTTAAACAACTATAAACAAAACAGCATCATGTATGTATGCATAGTTTAATACAAAGGGCCGAAAGCCAATCACACAGAGTACAATTTTCATTTAAAAACACGAGTTGCAGTGGGATGGGGAGAAAACCCCGCCATAAAGTCTCGAGATATGTATTTTCAAAGTTAAACTTGCATTAATTGTACATGGCTTTCTAAACATGCGGCTCTTTTGTGCGAGACGGGAGTGCAATGCTGATAGATGTCCCTCTAGAATAATATGATGCAACGACACTTACATCGTCTTCGCATCTCGTGCGCCGCTGATAAGCCTGACAGACGCACACCTAAAATTTGAATGCAACGTTTTTGCATTCGAATGTGGATTTTTATTTAAAATTTGACGAATATTCGAAATTCAAATAATATTTTGACAGCCCTACTGCCGACTGTATTTCAGTGTAGTGACGTATTTCCAGCTGAAACGGAATACTGAATAGAGGGCATGGTTTTATTTTTTTATCCTGACGGTTGGAGGGGTGTTTTTAAGGATATTCTGCCCAAGCCGTCAAACTGACGTCATCAGAGAAGGAACGCCATTCCAGAGCGGAAGGAAATATTCAGATTTTGATTAAAGATCACCAAGACAAACATTTTTTTCAGCGGATTAACTTGCACGGATTAATTGTTCACATCAAGACTAGCAATGTGCGCTAGTAAAGTAAATAAAGTCAATTTTGATTTCATGCGGACTTTAAATAGAAACGTGCATGTGTTTGTATTTATATACACACATATATTATGTAAACAAAAACTTTTATTTTGAATGAGATTAATTGTTTGACAGCACATATATATATATATATATATATATATATACAGTGGGTACGGAAAGTATTCAGACCCCCTTACATTTCATTTATTAAATTTTAAAAATTACAGTTGCTTTTTTTATGGATTACATGATTACATATCCACATATCAATATAGGAGATAAACAAGTTAGGTCAAAAGTACTCGAAAGGTAATTGGAATACATAACCTAAAATGAATAATCTAAGAGATTACGTTACTAACTACAATTTGCAAGTAATTTACCCAGGATTTTATTGATAATATATACAGTATGCATAAAATAAAATAAAAAATATATGACAAAATATTACTAATATATATATGTATGTGAATGAATGAATGAATGAATGAATGGATGGATGAATTCTTGATGCTCATTTTTTAAACCAGAAAACAAAAAATCATTGCATATATACTGAAATGATCCAGTATTGACCAGTTGATAGCTAGGAACTGTTTATGTGGGTAGATGGTCCATTATTTCTGAGGAGGCCTAGTAAAGGTTTCTGTGTTATGTAAGCACATACAAACACCTCATGCGTTGCAGCAAACTACGCAACGATCTGTGCACATCCATTTTCCACTGCAGGTTTGCTCCGTTAACCTTGCCCCGTGATTAGCGCAGCAGACCACAGACATCCAGGCTTTTCCTTCCACATCTATTTTTAGCACAGACGGGTTGTATTACCATCAGACCCAGTCCTCCCACCGCACCCGCGCTAATACAGTAATAACACTCCACTCCAACACACAAGAGCTGCTTTCATGCAAAACAAGAGCTTTAAGAGTCAATGATTACCTCACAGCACCTTTAAAACACACAACCTCTGACAGGAGATGTTTTGTAAATCAAGCTTTCATACAAAAAAATGTGCTAAAGGACCGTAATTTTGTTCACACCAGTTACTTTTTATCTGTGGGGAGTAGACACTGTATAGTGTACTAGATACTGTGTATATATATATATTACCGAAACCAACATTTTTGGATACACTTGGGCAAAACCCCAAACTGAAAATGCTTTTTAATAATTATTTATTAAATAATATAAAATAATTTTGTAAGACATTTTAATTTAGCTCAATAATTGTAATACTAAATTTATTTAAAAAAATGCAAGCCAATAAAACAACCACACTTTTATTAAAAAAGTAAAACAATAAAATTGGATATCAAATATATTAATATTAAATATCCAATATTATTTTTATTCAGTTCTATGCAACAGAATGAGATTTAACTGTTTTTTTGTTTTGTTTTGTTTAATTATTCAAATAATAGTCCTACAAAGCTAAAACAAAAACAAACAAACAAAAACAATGTATTTAGTAATTAAAGTCATTTCGGTTTGTGCATTCTGAATTTTCTGTTTATCACTAACAATAATAAAAATAAAAATAATAATAACATTATTTTCCAGTCGATATTTATGATTTTTTTTTTAATTCTTACAAATATTTTTACCACACACACACACTCTCTCTCTCACACACACACACACACTCTCACACACACACTCTCTCTCTCACACACACACACACACTCTCTCACACACACACACACACACACTCTCACACTCTCACACAAGTTAATACTAGGTTACCAGTCAATTACTATTAAGTGATCGCTGATGATATTCTCTTTAAGAATTATTGGTCATATTTGTTACATGAAAACATTTGCTTCAAACATGCACACATCAGCAGGATAATAAAACATACGAGTAGAACATTAAAACTATTGACCTATTAATTGGAAACTAGCTTTATCTTTAACATTGTCATCAGTATCTGTATAAAGCCATATCATTGACCTCTGATGGGGAGATTTCTCATATCAGCTGTTTCTCTGATATCACATGTGATGCCAAATAGTTTGAAACAGTAAAGAGCTCTCATATCTTATATTCGGTCCAATAACAGCAGTGCAATATAGATATATAAAGCAATATAAAGCAGCATCTGTATCTGTCTGAAAGGACAGACCGGCCAGCTCTTTAGACAGCTGCTCCCATGTTGTCTGACTCCGGGGCCCGGGGCCAGTTCTGGCTCTCCACACAGAGACAGACCTTGTTGCTTTAATGGCGAAGAGGCGGGACCTGAAACCAGCGCTGCTAAACACACACAGACTCGCATCAGAAACACTCTTCAGCCTTCTGCTGTAAGTCTGAGTCTGCAGGGCCAGCGGAGACGCTCTGGGGCCGTTTTGTGTGGGATTTCATTACCGGGAGCAATTTTAAGTATTTCAAAGTAAAAGAAAAAGTGGGTATCATTTATAGATCGATTGGCGTCCATGAACTCACTCCGTCGACATACAAACTCGGTGTTCTTGGATTCTTTTGTTCCCTTTTCAGTGCATTCAGACAAACAGATCCTGATTCCTGGAAAAGCATGACACTAGACTGTCATCGTGAGCGTGTTTAATGGTGCGTTACGTCTTGAACCGTGCATAAATGACCATCACGTGTTTGTGGGGATGAAAAACGTCACGTCTGGAGTGAAGCAGTGGCAGAATGACAGCCTCTAAATCTTACAAAATCCTTTATTTCTGGGGTTCACAAACGTGTTTTTTTGCAAGTCAAATCCCTTAAACGTAAAATATCGCTTAATATATCTTATTTTTAGATAAGAATTTAGATCTTATTTTAAATATCGTATTTTTAGAATTAACATTTCAATAATTTAACAACACATTCATGTTCACTGTTATCTGATATAAAATATTTATTGTTTTCGGTCTTATTTTTATTTTTTAATTATTTATGCATACGACTGCATATTGCTGCTGCTGAAACCAACTGAAACCTCTTTCAGGGTCTTTATTTTTATTTTCTTTGGTGGCCTTTAACATGCAACTATAAAGTACAAAAAGTGGTGCTGAAATCATGATCTATTTGCACAAACTGCTACTTATCACTGTGGACTTGCTACAATCACACACACACACACACACACACACACACACGATAAACGTACATAGTCCAATGCGATCATACATCCAAAGGCTGACTGTCTCACAGCCATTAGGCCAAGTACAAAACACATACAGTAACAATAATCCATTATTGCGGATGATCCGCTCAGTGTGATCTGATTACTGAACTGCCTGCGTTTGACTCCATTTATGGTAAATACAAGAGGGAGGAGGACGTCAGACTCTGGCACGCTTTCTTTTCCTCAGAACAGTCTCTTAGCCATGCCCCTCTGAAATCCCCCAACAAAAACACGAGAGGTCGACCGAATGATCGGTTTTGCCGATTAATCGGCACCGATAGTTGATTGCCAGAACTATCGGTAAAAATCCAAATCCATAGTAATGACCCGTTTTCATATCATTACTATGTAAAATTTGAATGATGATAAAAAAATTATAATAAAAAAATCCACCAAGTAAATAAAATAAGGTATCAAAATCATGAAAAAAAATAAGCAGTATTCTCTGCTCTCAAACGCTGAAACCGCACCCACTCGCGGGAAAGTTATATAAGGAGACTGAGCTGTTTTGTAAATTATCGCGACCATGTATTATGCATTTTCGTGACGATGGCAAAACTGTAGGCTGTAGTAACTCACATGACACTTTACAATAAGACTCCATTTGTAACATTAACTAAGGTTGATAAAAGCTGTAGAAGTATTATTCCTTGCTAGACTGTTAATTTCAACATTGATAAATTTGTAAAATTTTAAAGTTGCTTCTGTTAACATTAGTTAATGAACTTTGAACTGACTTTAATGATAAATAT